CCATAATTTAAATCCGAAAGGTTATGATGAATTATATGTTCGGCTTGTCGCGGTTCTTAAAGTTTCTACTGCATCACTAATTACCACCAAAACGTAGATTGTGTCAATACGTGGTTTCTTAACTAGAGATTATTTCAGAAAACCAGATTCACAAAGCAAAATTTGTTGATTCTCTTAAAGAATCATAACCTTTTTATATTACTATTGTACATTCTGATTACATCCTTATGTACAGGACATTGTTAAGCAAAACTGATTATACCACAGATTTGTGAAATCCACTGCGACAATATTATGCAGAAAATAGTATTTATACATGTAAACATTTAAGTAACAATAAATGATATGATTTTTATTGACGAACTTGAAAACTGAGTAGTTCTAGTAACATTACCGTTGTGAATTAAATTTGAAACCTACGTAAGACTAAATTTTTTTTGATTTTAATTATCTCAGCTCTATTTTAAAATTTATATAAAGTAGTATTGATAATTTATCTTTGCCTTAATAATTGCTTTAATTGTAGAAATTACTTTTAAAATTCTACTAATTGCTTTATCGAGCTAATTATAAAGAACGAAGTTACAGTACTAGTGGAGTTTTAAGAAATATAAACTCTAGCCATTATGGCACAAAGTATTTTTTTAATATAGTTCGAGCCACCTATAAGCATCTAAAAATCTAAAGTTCTTGCTACAGGCACAATCTACGAAAAACTTTATAACTTTGTAGTTTTGGATCTACATAGTTACGAATCGTTATTTCTGTATTTGCTGAGGAGAAAAGAATTTTTTTGTACATGTTGCCACAATAATGATACTACACAACCAATAAAAATAATTGTTATATATGGCTTAGACATATAAGTGGCAAAGATTTGATATGACTAAATGTTCATCATAGAATATATGATGACTTGAAATTCTTTAAGGGTTATGTATTACGTAAAAATGTTTATCTATAAATTTTAAAAAGCAAATAAATAAATGAGGCTTTAAATTTATTACTTACAGTTTTGTTTACATCTAAGCACGGCTTATAATGTTTTTAATTTTAATATTTCAATTTCAATTTGAATTTCAATATTTAAAGGGTTATTAGCATTTGATTTCTAAAAATAAAATTATATGCGGATAAAGAAATGGCGGTTACTACAGTCCAAATTATGGGTGAATCTGAAATGAATTTTAACCCACATAATGACGAACCAGTAACAATTATTGAGAGTTCACCTAAGATGGAATATATTGCCACATGGAGTGAAAAAGATAAATCGGTCGTTGGCTGGAGTATTGCTAATGATGAACATCAGTTGAAGCATGAGCATATGATTTCACAAAATGATGTTAAATATGAAGAATGTTTTGAATTGTATATAAATGATATGCTTACGATTAAATCATTTGCTGTTTCTGATAATAAACTAGTTTCTATGCCAATTTATGGTGATGAAGATGGTCTAATAAAAAAAATTGGTATGGATCATAAACTTTTTATAAAATCCAACATTTTTCACAATTTATCCTTTAATGACTAAAATAGTTATAACATCATAATTTACTCTAAAAATTTCTTTTATTGTTAATTCTAAGTATAATTTTATTCTACCTTCAAGGAGTTTTCGATTTTCTAGGTCTTCCATATTCTTCTTATTTACTTATATATCTAAATTTTTTAGAAGATAATGATTTGGTTGCTATCGTTGATAGTTTGATTGGCAGTTTTAATGGATATAAGATATATGTCTTTACTCAAAAAAAGAACAGGCTGATTCGCAAATCAACAATAAAATTGGACATAAAACCTCATCAAATTTTCATGTCTCCTAAAGGAAAACTATTTATATATGATAATGATATAGGAAATATTACAAAATGGGATATAAAAACTTTAAAATTTGAGGCACACTTTTTAGTTAAACCTTTTACTGATATTGATATAAAACTAAGTGACAACGGGTTATTTTTATTAGTATACGCAGTAAGATATGTCGCAAAAAGAATGGTAGATTCTAGTATATTTATTTTTTTGGCTGAAAATGGAATGAAATTTACATCATGTAAGTTTTCAGAAAATGTAATTTCAAAAAATTCTAATAATATACGTAATATATACTAATTATTATTTTCTGTAAGATAATTGGGGTGGATTAGAAATATATGCATTTGACCTAATTGCTTCCGAATTTTGTGCTCGACTTCTTATAATGGCCAAAAATAAGGAAAAGCAAAATATCAATCATATAGTAGATCCATTTATATCTTCAGAGAAAGTAGATGCTAACAAGCTCCTTAGTTACTCTGAAACATCAGATGTACAGAAGCAGTTTCAATATCCCTGCATCATAAAATTTGACAACGTCATAGGTTCTATTGGCAAAAGCTTGGTAACAAAGAAATTAATACCAGACGAAAGAAATTGGATTCCCTATTTAAGAAATACATTAGAAGATTCCAATAGGATATATATGTCTTCAATTAGAAAAAATGTTGCAGAATTTATTGAACCATTTATTGATAAGTATACTTTAAAAACTGATAATGATAATAATATACCTGAAGTAAAGCCTATTAATAAGGTATTTGAAAAATATTTGGTCAAGTGGACTTTGCATTGCGATAAAAATTTTGATATCATCAAAGCAGAATCAAAAGATGCTTCAGACGAAGTAAATTTTCGCCCAAATTATCATAATTCGCCGACAACATTTGCAATAGAAGCTTTTTGTTTAGATAATGATGACTTAGTTATTTATGGAGAGTTGTGTTTACTTATTTGGACATTTAGTGCAAAAAAAAAAATACAGATGATTTATTGTTGGCATATTAATCCTAATGATCATTCGATTATTAAAAGTCTCTCTTCGAATTCTTTAAATTCAAAGGGTTATTTCCTTCCAGCACCAAGTGAAAGTTTCATTAAACGTATATCATTTTATCAGCCGGATATGACTATAAGATATTTAATTGAGGAATTACTTGATGAATATATTCGTAATGAATATTTTTTAATACTTTATGGAGATGAACTCATGAAATTTTTTATTGATAACGGTAAAGATGTCCAATTACGAAGATTATGTAATAGATGCATTAAGCTTGTTTTTGAAAGTGATGAATCTCCTCCAAATATACAATTATTTAGAATAATTTCTCAGTCACTTACTAAAATATCTGAAAGAAATCCAACATACTTTGATGATTTTATTATACGAATCTCATTTTTGTGTGTTTTCGACAGATCATATTTAGAATCAACTTTGGAAGATAAAATTCGTCTAAAACATCTTCACCATTATGGAAGCTACAGTAAATTAACTAAACAAACATATCTAGATTCTCTAATGGATGGATTTTATGGCTTTATACTGCGTTGCAAAATTTTAAATAGAAACTTAAATAAAATCATTAGATGGTATAATAGATATTCTTATGAAAAATTAATTGCTTATGAAAGTCCAAAATTTGTTAGCTATCCTGAAGAGTATAATGTTTGGAAAGAACTATTGAAACCATCTTCTAGTTGCTTTACCGAATTTACTGATCCTTCCTTTTACCAAACTTGGAATGGTGAAGCTATTATTAATTTTAAATGGGAATCTTTTGGTAGAAGATATTATTTGTCGATTTGGGCATTGTATACAGTTTTTCTTTGTAGCTTTGTCACTGCTGCTACGCTAACCGATGAGATTTCTTGGCTTTACAAATCATTATTATTAACCGCTGCCATAATTCTTGGATATGTACACTTATTTTTTGAACTCCGTCAATTTATTCATTCACCTTCGGATTATTTATCAAGTACTTGGAACTATTTAGGTAAATTGGTTTGTAACCTACTTATTAAAACACATATATATACTTATTTGGTAGAATTTTTTAATAGATCTTGGTTCTACAATATCTACAATAGCAACTTCTATTCATTGGCTTCATCATGGATCTGTGTCAGCTTGGGCTATTACATTTACAACATTACTACTTGAAATAAAATTTATTCTTTTTTTCCGATGTATTCCATTTTTTGGAATATATCTGGCTATGATTATGAGTACAATAGATAAAGTAATATCATTTTTAATAATATTTGGATGTATTGTACTTGCATTTGCGCATTCATTACATCTCCTGTTGCGATCAACAATTGTAACAGACCAATGTATTTGATCAATTATTTATATTATATACGTATACACAAATATAATAATATTGATAATAAATTAAATTTTACTCAAATTTTTAGATTCTGAGCCAAATATGTTTTCACAATTTGGTTCTTCAATTATTGCATCTTATTACATTATGATTACAGGCAACTTTTATAATTTTGTTAACCTAATTTTTAAAATTTTATTTAATAAGATTTTTTATTTTATTAGGAGATTCAACTCCTATTTCAACTTGGGTTACAGAAGAAAATATTATAATAATGTTTTTAATGATTTTATTTTCTTTTTTCACTTTAATTTATTTGATGAATTTATTTATTGGTATAATTAGTAGTTTAATTAGTACTGATGATAAAACAAGAGGTATAATTTTTTTTTTTTGATTCCTTATTATAATTCAAATATTTTAAAACTTTGGTACTTATATATGTTTTATTCAGATTCTTGTTGAAATTGAATTATTTTATTTGTTACCTTATCAGAAAAGATAATACAATTGGTTCTCTGAAATTTTGTAAGTATTATTTTTTTTAAAAAAAAGATCAAATAACTGAAAAAATACTATTAATTTTGTTGATTTTTTTATTATAGCTTTTATCAAGTTCATATTAGTAAAGTTCATAAACTATTTAAACAAATTAATTCTGATAATTGGAATAAATCTGCAAAACCTCTTATTTCTAAGGCTGTTAGAGATGTTTTAAAAGTTTTAAATAGTGAAATTGATGAAATTGATGAAATTAAAAAAGAGAATGAAGCAAATTTGGATAAAAATTCGAATCCCGACAAATAAAACCTTGAAAAAATTGGTTAAAACTATAATCAATACTAAACTAATGCAGGCTAACTTGGTGGGATTTCATTTGTTAGAATTATGTTTGGCTCCCAAAGAAAAAAAAATGAACCAGATTAAGGAAGAAACACAAATTTGTATTAAGATTTTTATTAATTGCTGCATTTTCATTTAATGATTTATTAAATATTTTTATTGTAATAACAAAGATAGCATGAAATGCATTGGTTTTAAGTCGTGTAAGGTATTTATGCATACTGATTTTAAAATGAGCGCGATATGACATTCTTAATTCGTGTGAATGACATATATCAATTAATAATGGACAAATTGAAAAATGGATATTGATATCCACGTTTGTCTTTAAAATTATTTCGAATATATCCAGCTTTTTAAAAAATGCTGTAAATACTGGGATAGATAAGAAAGTCTTGAGTCGATGAATTAAATTTTCTATTCCTCAAGTAAATTCATCAAGTTAGTTTACTCAGTTATAAACTATATAGTCATATTTATATAGTAAAACTTTGCATATTTTCGTGTGAAATTTATTTTAAAATTTTTTAGTTTTAATAGATTTAAAAAGTTAATGTCAAATCTTCCATTTTAATAGTAACTATAGTTAAATAAATATGTTTATTTTACAACTATATATTTATTAATACCGAGGTTATAATAATTTCATGATAAGCTTTATTTCGAATTTATTTTATATCGAATTTATTTTATATCGAATTTATTTTATATCGAATTTATTTGATTTATTAAAGCATTTCTATTCAGATAACAGTTTATTCATACTGAACTTCCTAAAATTTAACACATATTAGCATTTGCGTGATAATTAAAGATCAACCTAGAATACGTGTTCTGGAAGCTTGAAATGTAATAAATATTTTGGAGCGAATATAAAAAAAATTATAACTTCGTGTACATCAATTTAGATCCAGCCAACAAAATTGTGAGATCATGATATGTTGTTGTGATTATGTGATACGATCATTGAAAACCGTCTTCTGGGATTTTAATAAAAAGGTGGCAAAGGATCGTCTAAGGTATTCAATGATTACGGGGGCGCAAGCCGGCCGGAATTACCGGAAAGTTTAAACTTTGGAATTAAATAATTGTATTTAGCAGATTTTAAAGAACCTAAATTATAGTCTTGGGTAAAAAATAAAGGTCTTATAACGTCGATTGACAGATTTGCCATCGAATAATTTGGGTAGCATTGCGAAAAAAAAATTGATTATTTTTGTAATACGTCATTTTTAAAAAATTTCCTGTATAGAGGAATTTGACGAATAAGAATTTATCTCGTTTATTTTAGTTTATATATAATTACTTTTATTTATTTAATAATGAATAAATTTTAAATTCACTTAAGCGAAATCAGAATTTTTTACAACTGAGTCAGTTTAGAACATATATCAATTTCAACGTACAACATATTTATATTACAGGTATGAATATAAATAAGTTGAAAGTATTTCAAATCTTAGGCTTGCTAAAATCGATAACCTTCTGTAGTTCGTCACCACGTTGTGTAAGTATCTCCTTAGTTCTTGTGGGTATGGTGAAAGGGTATAAAGCATAAACCGAATTATTGGAATAAATACCAGGGAGATGTTTTAGGATAAGTTGTTGTATAATGCCACCTGACTCAAATTGCTTTTCAGGAATTTCAAGGTTTTTCCAATCCCAACATCCTGTATTATGCTGGTTTAAATCATCTGTTGCGAAACGATCGTTTCGTACGAGATTAACCGCATCTGACAGAATACCACGGCTAACTGTGAAAGGAAGCCCAATCGCTGAGCCCAATTTGCCAGCGATCTTAGTCTTTTCTGTCATGAGACCAGGATACAATTCAACATTATCAATATCACCATAAAGGGTTTTAAGTTTGATTGCTAATTCTTTATCTTCTGTCATGTCCTCAAATGAAGTATAAGGTACCAAGTTAAGGAATTTGCGAAGATCGTTAAGACTGCATACTCCCAAGTCTCTAGCTACTTGAATTCCAGCAATCTCGATAATACGTAAAGCTGCGGGAATATTATTCGCTCCGAAAGAACCTATCCAATCAATATAATATATTGTTAGTTTTTCATTGATAATGTCAAAATTTTAATAATTATATTTAATTATTACCAGCAATTTTCTCCGTTCCTTTTATTAATTCTTTAGCAATATCACTATCTGCGAATTTTCCATTTTCATCTCTTTTCATATTATTAAATGTCCATTTAGATGGTTCTTTGGGTAGAGTATTTTGCCACTCAACCATCTTCATCACAAATGTCTTTGGATCGACCTGTTTTGGACATTATTATTATTATATCGGGTTATTATTGAAAGGATAATTATATGAATTAGAATGTTTACATTTTCTAAATTATCTGTTCCCAGAATGCGTTTGAACTCATTGTCAATCCATTCCGCATCAGAGTCCGAGATGGCTGGATGCCATCGATAGATATAGTTAAACTCTAAGGAGACTTGATTACCAATTCCAGTGGGTAAGCGCGCAAACAAAAGACTATTACCATAAGGCTTTGTTGGATCGAGGAACCAGTCTGATGGAGTTTGATCGAGACCAAGTATAGAACTAAGATAATCACGGAGAATGATTTTCAGGTAATATCCGCAATTAATCAGCCGAGCTGTTTGAAAGAGGTGCTCGTCATCCTTGAATACACCTGTTTTATAAAGATGATCTGCAATATAATTATGATTCCTCGAAAAAAGAATCAACAGGGAACATACACCTGGTAGTTGTACAAGCATTCGAGAGTCAGCAAACGTGTCTGGCTTTAATTGACCTAATACACCGGTACGAACTTTAGCCAGTTCTTCATCACTACTTCCGTACAATGGAGAAAGGTCAGCGTAGGAGGAGTTTCGATTGATTGAATAATTACGAGGATCAGAATTGAATAAATCATGCGTAATTATTATGGCCAGATAGAACAACGTTGCACTGATACCAGAACCATGAGGGATGAATTTATCACGCCTCATGACACTATCAAAAATTTGACTAGCATCAGGAAGTTTACTAAAAGGTTTTTGCATAGGAACAGTTCGCGCATATTGGGAACCGGCTTTTCCAATTTGTGAATAGAGTCTGAGCCTGCTGTAGTCGGATCCATCACTGCTACGGTAACTGTATCCAGCAAGCATAGTAGGTGGTTTTGTAATGTCATTCCACAATTGTGTAACTAAAAATCTTTCCAAAAGATTGACTAATTCAGGATCTTTCGAATATCTTTTAGTCATAATCTCAATCAAATCTTCCATCTATAAAAAGTACATGATTTTAATTATTAATGTTATAATTAACTTAAAATATGCAGGCTCACCATGTATTTCGAATCATCAATAGGGTCTTGATGCAGAGCGGTGTTAACTAATTCATGGATTACTTTTATTTCTTTTTCAGCCAATTCACTCGACTCAAAAAACTTGGAAATCTCATTTTTCAGGTTTTCAGGTACTGATAAAATTGCCTTTTCGAATTTTGATGTCAATTTTGGCGTCGTATTGGGCCAGGTGTTTGTATATAGTGACCTGACCGAGTAGGGTTTGCGAACATAATTGATAAACCTTCGGGTCAAATGTAGCATTTTTTTTTTTTTTTTTCAAACTTTAAGGTAATGAATTTTTGCTTAAGTACGTTTAGTACGTTAACGTATTTAAAATATTTTACGTTAATATTCAAAATAAGATTTAAAATCTCAGGTCTTCTTCGACTTTTATAACCTGTGTTTGCCATAAGGAGAACATCATTCTGCATCGCCGATGATTTTATATGCACGTATGGATTCTATGCATATTAATATTATTTTAGTGCTTTGTACGTACAGTATTCGCAATGCAGGAATACTCTACTTATGCAAACTCAGGATACATTTGACGCACTAAACAAGATATGAACGCTTTTCATTAGAAAGGAGGTGATCTACTTTTTGGCCTAAAAAATATAGCATTACAGAATTAAAAGTTAAATTATGCTATATAGCTTAATATATAATTTGTGAAAAATTAAAAGTGACGTGCATTGCACAATTGTTTACACACATGGCATATACGTATAAATAATATTTTAAAAGTTGTGATCTACATTTTCAATCATTGAAAGTACGTTTGATTGGCTGATGTAAATCAATTGCCCGGGTAACTTATTTATATGTTTTAAAGTACTTTTTTTAGAACTGAACGTTTCACTAATGAAAAATCGCTACAAAAGCCATTTTCAGCTTTGAACAAACTATACAAAAGAATCTCAAAAGGATCTTCCTCCTCGTGGACTTTGCTTAAAAGACAAAATATATTGCCATTTATTAATTTGAAAGGTATAAGCTCTTTAGCAGTAGAAGATTCAGATACAAAATTTAAATTTAGTCGTTTAGCTGGGGGTTGTCAACCATAAATTAAGTTTTGGTTTATATACTGTATCATAGATATTTAATGGGTTTGGGTTTATTAATAATAATAAAATATTACATTTATCCAACTTTACGCGTATCATCTATTCTATATGTGAAAATTTTACTATGTTTTGTCACTGGTTCTTAGGCAGATCACGAAAAGAAAAAAGTTTTTCTTTGGGAAACTCCAAATTCCAAAAGCTTCATACGAAGTTTTTTTGGTTAATTATCACGGAAAATCACGGGTAGATCTACCAATCATACGAATGTCGGCCTATTATATCTAGCATGGGGGCTTTCTCATTTTTCAGAAATACAGTTTATCATAGCCAACACATGACCTCACTTTTAGATATTCGTTGAACAAGATGGCTAATAGCAAGCGTAATCCGTATGTTATAACTTCTATGATTTAATTTCAAAATAAAAAAAAACTCGTGCTGTAGAAGAATCATATTACTTATTTAAGCTACAATAGGGACTTTTACAGTTGTATAAATTTTATTTAAAAAAATTTTAATAACAAGTCGTAATTTCTAATAGCACTTTATACGACCAATAAAACTATACTATTATATATATAAAATAAATTTGTTATATAAACCATCTTCTAACTATGCGTAGCTCTTTAAAAAACACCTGTAAAATTTATAAATAAAACGAGTTAGTTATTTTAAATAAAAAAAAACTAAAAAATTAAACTCAAACTCTACGAATTAAGCAGTGTAATATAGATAGATAATACTTCAGCTCTTCTTAAATCGCGCGATGCAGCTTTATTTTCTTGACAAGACACTTGCTAGGAAGTTGTTCTATAAGTAAAGTATTATGCCAATAGTTGATTTTAAGTTTGCTTATACCCAAAACTTCCGGCTATGCTATATAAATACTTGTGTAGCATCGATCCCGGATTCGTGCTACTAAAAACCTCATTTTACTTTTATTTATTATTCGTATATGCATAATTACGTTTCGCATGCAGGTAAATGTAGGATTCCGCATGATCCCAGCATCCATGGATTCAGCCCAGCATCCATGGATTCATGGATCGGCACAGCATGGGGATATTAATATCGATATGGAAAAAAAGGCGTTCAAACTATTTTCGAATTTTATTTTTGGATTTTTGATAATCTCGCATTACGTATTATTAATTATTCTTGGAAAAAGATTAAGTTCTTGTTAATAAATATATAAATAGTATACTGCTTTTAATTCTTTTTTAAAGTAACATTTTTTATATTATAAAATCCATATCTTTTATTATGATAACTACAACTCTCAAATAACAATATGAACATTAATAATTAAAGAATTTTACTTAATGTAGCGAAATATTAAAACGTAATCAAATAGACCCGTCAATATTAATAAGTTTAGAACTATTATTTAAATTTTCTCTATTTAAAAAATGTGAAGATATATTATTTTACAAATTATTCTATAACTGAACATAATAACTATTTGAAATTAATTCTATATATACATATACACACATCTTACTTTTATTTCAATATACATCGCCGATTTCCAACCTTATCTTAGATGACTAGGGATTTTTTTAGCTATCCCAGTAACAAGTGTGCCATAAGAGCAAATTTTTAGTTTAGCTGGTAGAATTATTGATGATAGTCAATTTAATTTAGATTCTGATACTGTTTAAACATTAATATGTTAAAAAAATTGGTTGTCAAAAAATTTGTTGTCTAAATATCATAAATAGCATATAACTTTATTATATTAAAATAGATTTTAGACTTTGGTTACGAAAATTTTTTTATAAAAACTAACATGTACGTATCTATGAGCCGAGCTTGGATTGTACTATGTGGTTATGGGCCGGGCTTGGATTTATCTAATTAAATATGGGCTGGATTTGGATTAAAATGGTACATTTTTTTAATGGGCTGGATCTGGATATCAAAATATCCGGCCCAGCTTGGCCCATGCGGAACCCTAGGTAAATGACATACCAATTTTGATCAAAGACGATACATAAATATTTATTTATAGAGAAGTTCATGCAATAATAAGCGATACTGTGGTATAAGAACGAGTATGTTCTTACAGTAACATGTTCTGTGACAGAATTTTCTACAGCGCCTACTTATGATAAGAATCATGATAATTACAAAGAAAACCAGCTCATTGTCACCACATACTGTGCGTCATTGGAATAGCGAGTATGTTCAGTTATACGGGTCAGACATTAGAAAATTATTAAGCACAACATAGAAAGCCACAAATATTTACTAAAATATTATGACTTAGCATGAATCTTCAGAAATTTCGATATAAATATCATTCGAAAAACTTTATTATTCATTAAAAATTTATCAAGGATAATTAGAAATGATATCAAATTCAGATAATTCCCATGTGAAGATTCCAATCGAAGAAGCTCCAGATAAAAGCAGAAAGATTTTAGAAATTGTCTGCTCTCCAAACATGAAACACGTTGCTGCATTAGATGAAGATAGTAATATTAGTCTTTGGACTCAAGAGCAACTTTTAGAGAACAAAAAGACAATTCATATTGACAATATTTGCACCAAAGAAAAAGGTAAAAGAATATTTGCAATTTCCGATGATAAATATGTTTCAATTAGTCTTTATAGAGTCGATCCCTATAATTTCAGTAAGTTATGTTATGCAAAAATTAATATTGATATTTCAATAAATTCAATCGACTTATCGTATTCATGTACATTTTTTCAAGAAATCTTCGATTTTGAAACTGAAAAGGAGATACCGTTAACTTTTCCAGATTGGCAAAATGAAATTGACTTCTTATCCTTTATTTGTAATGGTAATATTATAATGTGCAATACTAAATATTACAGAGCATATGTTTTTTCAAGTAAAGGAAGAGATAAATTTACCTGGTTTTGTAAATCAATGATTGAATTTTGAAATATTTTAAAAAAATTTATATTACTCTTAAAGGCAAATTAATCATATTTAATGATACGATTTATGAGATTACTATGTGTGACATTGAAGAATTATCGATTAAATCTCATATTTTAATAGAGTGGGATTGTACACTTGAATCTATTAAAATTAGTGATGATGAAGAATTATTATTAGTATGTGCAAGAAATAAGTAGACTAAAGAAACTCGTTTATACGCTTTTTCTACTGAAACTGGCATACTGTAAGTTTTATTATTTTTTATTTTTATTGAAATGAATTATTGATGTTATTAATTTTTCATATTAATTTTTTATTTTATTTTATTTTCTTATTTTTAGATAACACACCATTGAGAATAGATAGATTTCACTTGATTACTTCTAAGAAAGTTATATATTTCGGGTGAACAATATAAATTAATGGACTCTTATAATCTCAAAAACCCAATAGATGCACAAAAAATCCAAGAACTATATATAATACGATCTTACGAAACATCAGATAAAATAATTTATATGATTGATGGAAAAGTGTTGATTGATGAATTGGTGCCTGATAATTGGGTCGAATACTTACGAAAAGAATTGAAAGACACAAACAACATTATAGCTCCGTCTAAAAAGACGATTTTAATATAACTAGGACTAATGATTATAATGCTGACAGAAAAGAACTTTTTAAAATGGGGATTAGAATTAAATGATAAATCACTCGCACTTACAGTAATTGTTTTTATCGCGGTTTTCGAAATGGTTGACACTAAAATATTTTGTATACTCACTGTATACTGATATAAAATCATCAACCCTAAAAAAATTTTTTGTATACTTTAAATAAAGTATTTAAAAAAATTTTTTAGGGTTAGATAATTCTATATCAGTATACAGTGAGTATACATAATATTTTAGTGTCAACCATTTCGAAAACCGCGATAATGGGAAAGAATGGAGCGATGATAAAAAAAGGCATCTAGACATTCTTCCATCATTCTATCCTAATGAAAAAAATTTTATACTACATTGTGAAGTTCTTGAAAATGATGATCTCATTTCGATTACCCGTATTGGTTTAATTATCTGGACTTATAAACATCCCGACATTAAGATGCTTTATTATTGGAATGATTGGAATGGCTGTTTAGAAGATTTTGATTTTGAAAAGACAAAGTTTGAAGATCTCTTTAATGATTGAGCTTCGGAAAGAATCCTCCCAGTTTCAAGTTATGAAACAATTTATAAAAATGTAAATATGGAATTTGGCACAGAAAAAATGCAGCTTTTCAAAATTTTTTTGAAGATAATATTGTCGAAGAATTTTATTTAACTTGCTATGGAAAAATTCTATTGAAAATATTTACCTCATTAAGGGATGATAAGTGGATTGAATTTTTAGGCGAGAAGTGCATAGATAAATGTTTGCAGAATAATAACCATTTGATTTCTAAAATAACTTTGTTGAGTATTATTTTTGAAAACTTCAAAGAATTATCAGAAAAACATCCTAGATTTATAGCAAATATTTTATCCAAGATAGGATTTGTAGTTCCTTCTACCATCGTAATTCCAAACTCTAATTCTTCACACCTTTCCAGTTATGGAAGATATCCAGAACATCATTTTTTGATATATTAATTTCTAATATTTGGGTTCATTGGATTAGTATTCAATATAGTCATCCACTTTTTCGAGATTTAATTGTAAGACCAATTATTGATTTTTATTATGGGAATCGTAGTATAGGTTATAGTTCAATAATACTTGCAGCACCTCTACCAAACTTTGTTTCTTACCCGAAACAATATAACTTTTGGAAAGAATTGTTTTCTTCTAGTTTTAATCCCTTTACAAGTTTAAATGAGTTAGAAATGATAAATGAAGAATTTTATAGATACTTAAATGGAGAGGCACTACTAAAATTTAAATGGAACACTTACGGGAAATATTATTATTTAGCAACTTGGGCAATTTATACGGTTTTTTTTTCAGGTTCGTAATTGCTGTGACATATTACAAAAACATTTCTCAGACAAATCTGTTCATTCTCTTAAATGTAACTATTTACCTTGGGATTTTGCATTTACTTGCTGAATTGCGTCATTTCATTTATTCGCCTTTAAACTATATATCAAGAGCCTGGAATTTTTTGCGTAGGTTTTTTTTAAACATAACTATTATGATATGTGAATACTTAATTTATTAATTTTTATTACTAAAAGATATTGCTGGCATAACGTTCACTACTGTGACTTCTAGTTATTGGTTAATAAATGGTTCTGCTTCAAGTTGGGTTATCGTATTTTCAATTTTATTCCTTGAAATAGAATGTATTATTTTTTTCCTTTTTCCTATAAAATCTTTTGGGATTTATCTTGCCATGATAATGAATACTGTAAACAAAGTATTATCTTTTTTAATAATATTTGGATGCTTTGCACTTGCATTTGCACATTCATTACACCTCTTTTTACAACTGGAATCTGAAATATTACGAGGTATTGATCAGTAAATTGGGTTATTTTTATTAATTTTATTACTGATATATGGCTTAATAAATTATTTCATTGTTTTTAGATTCCAATGAGTCTACACGATTTAGTAGTGCAATTATTACATCTTATTATATGATGATTACAGGTACATTATAGAGTCTGTCGATATTTATTATTATAATTTTTAATTGAACATCAGTTTTTATATTTTATTAGGAGATTCGACTCCTATTTCATTATGGATATCAAATGATAATATTGTGATAATGCTTTTAATGATTATAGCTTCATGTTTTATTCTTATTTATTTGATAAATTTATTTATTGGAATTCTTAATGATTTAATTAGTAACTTAGACAATGAAATTGCTTATTTTGTTTTAAAAAGTCAGGTATTTGGATTGAAATTTATTAAATTTTAAGCAAATTTTTTTAATGAATAACATATTTATTTATGATATATTTTTTTATGTTATATAGATGATTGAAGAAATAGAGTTATATGATATGTTTCCTCATCAATGAAGAAAAGAAAATTGGTTTCCATTTATTATGTAAGTTATTTAATTGCTTGCAAAAAATAAAAGGGACTTAATACGATTACTTATATTCCTTATATTTGAAGCTTTTATGAATGCCACACAATTAGACTTCGTGAGCATATAATTGATATCCAAAATAATAAATGAACGGGTTATAAAAAGCCCTATTTTTCAAAGAACCTTAAAGAAGTTCTTATTCTCGAAGAGCAGCCCTCTCTTAAACAAATTGAAGAAGCTATTAGGAATCTCGAAAAAAATAACAATAATACTGCAAATAAATAATATTTCTTGGTGAAAAATAGAATAAATATTAATAATTAAACGAATATTTAAATTATTTTAATAAGCGAGGAAGGTAGATATTTTTGAACGTGATTAATAATCAAACGAATATTTAAATTTATATTTTAATAAGCGAGAAATGTATTTTTGAACATGAATAATGATTTAAATAATAAATTTACATTGTCTGTGTTAGGTTATCTTAATATTACAAATTGACCAGTATTAAAAATTATAAATTGGCCGTTCTTATATATGGTGGCAAAAATTTCCATTTTTGGTTTGAACCACTCGTAGAGCACTAATCGTATGCGTGATTCAATTATATTACAATTTCTAGATTAAAGTTCATTACTTAAATATTCATTTCCATATAGTATGATTATTTTAGTAAAAATAGTAGGCAAAATATATTAAGTCATGAAAACCATCTTTAGGGGTTAAATGGTCCGACTCAAACCAATGCACCGCCAGTTCGTCCTAGGAACGAGACGGTCCAGTCTTTTTGTGACGGGCTGAAAAGACCATCGGTCCCAATATCTGTTATTATTAAATCATTGTAATAGATAAAATTTACAATAGAGGTTTAGAAAAGAGTGGTACTGCTACCACTAATTTTAATATATAGATTTTTTTTAAAAAATTTATTAACGAATTCAGATTAATAAAATAAACAAATATAGATACAAATAGGGATGGGTTCGGTCGGCTAGATCAGCTATCGGTCAGCTATTATCGACTATTGAATAATAGCTGGCTATAGCAATTAGTTTTTTGATATTTTTATATTTTATTCAGTTATACAATATTAGAGTACCCTGGTCATGGCGAAAAAAAGTTCGGGTCACAAGCTATAAACAGCCAATCAAAATAATCAAAACATTGAAGATCCGATCTACTAATTATGGTCAAATTTGTAGATTTTTGGCCTGTTGGTTTGAAAATGTAGATTGGTCCATATGAAATTTTGAGAAATTTTAAGATTTTAGCAAAGATTTCTCTGTACCTACTTGATTAACCTCAGTAAATTTATTTTTATTTTGATTCTAAACTTTTGTTGAATTAAAATAAAAAAAAACTTATCGAAATTTATAGATGGTTATTGAGAAGCCTTCACTAAAGCTTTAAAAAACATTCGAATTTTATAAAAATCGGCTAATTCCTTTTTTTTTAACTTTAACGAAGATTCTCAAGAGCAAATTCGATGAATTTTTTCTTTTATTCTGAGTTTATAGAATTAAAATAGAAAAATTATTGAAATTGGATACATTTTGCAAACCGTGATTATTTATTATCAAAATTATATATTCTTGCAAAAAAATTACTTGATTGTTAGATAAAGCATGCCTATCTTATTCCTTCGTGCGTTATGCAGGCAAATTTGCCTGCAAAATTTATTTTTTGCATAATTACTAAAAAAGTAGATATGAAAGAGTCCCCTAAAAAATATTTAAAATAATTCAGTTAGCTTTATACAATACTTTGGCAAAATATTAATTTTAAATTTGTCATAATAAAATTTTTTACTAACTAAAAATTATATTTTCGCCTATATATAAAATTACATCAAAAATGTTAAAATTTTCAACAGTGAATAACTTTTGATCTACTGAACCATTGTTACATTAGAAAGTCGGGGTCCTTCTAGTACCCAGATGTCGCAGTCATGCATGCCCATAAAACGTGCATGATCAGCAAGATAATGTGGATGTAAAGGTGCAGAATACATCGCGTTGCTGAAGTATGAACAAAACTAATTAAATGGATCGTTTAGAAGCAAGTTGAAATTAAAGATGTATTAGTTTAAAATTAGAAAAGAACCAACGAAAAGAATGGAGTAGAAATAGATACTTCCTGCAAAACATGTATAAAAGGCCCTTACTTTCGCCTTACTTTTTAGATAGAACTTTCTTAGCTTAGAATTCTCATATAGATATTTTATTTTCTTATTTCCTTTGTATTAAATAGTTATTTTATCGGTTAGATAAAATAGCCATGTCTTCATACACGTTAAATTTTCTTATTTTCTTAATAAAATACTTTTGAACATTATCACGTGACCACGTGACTTGAATGTCCATTGTTAACATTATTGTTGTAAAGCATTGAATACAACCTTATATATCTACATATATATTCGAGTTGTGCCTCTTTCGATGAGCCTTATATAAATCATCTTTGTTAAGTCATAAAATTGACTTAAACCCTTACCATTTATCTTCCATATCACCTAAGTTTATAGTATTTGTACTATACCAGCCCTGTCCCTTGAGAGTCTACGGGAAAGAGACTTTTGGGTGTGACATTTTTGGTGGTGACTGTGAGATTAAACTCTCTAGTCATTTAAATCGTGGGATCGAATTTCCTACAAAAGAATTGTTAGAAAAAAAAGAACCGCATGGATTTAGTGCATGAATTTTAGTTTAACCAAGAACACAGGACCGATCGATCATTTAACCCTACATTCACATAACAAAGTAGACTCCTGCGAACTTTGTTATCCTCTTCCTAAAAAAATATCCAAACCTTTTATCAATTTGCAAATTGGTATACCCCCACTTATTTTGCAAAACTATATACGTCGAAAACAAATAGTTATTTTAAAGAACTAGAAAACGCGTACCAGCAGCCGCAGTCCTTGCATTGCCGAAATTCAATTACAAAATTAATATTTAGTATAACATACATGTAAGTCCCAGGAAATTTCCTAGAAATACACAAAGTAATAACAAATGTAGTCTTACATACCCAGTGCTTTCAAACAGACCCGTTCACCCTTATCACCACAAACACTAATATAGTCAGTATGTTCACTCCTTCGGCCAAAGACGTGCTAGATTACCTAAAAGACAATCAAAAAGAAAGTATATTGATTAGGGTAGATTTCTTCAAGGGAGATTAGGGTTCCTAGGTTCAGTTCAGTTCAAATTTAGGTTCAATGAACCTGAACTGAATCTGAACCTGAACCACAAATTTTGCAGATCTTTGAACCTGAACCTGAACTGAACTTTGAATTTATGAACCTGAACTGA